TTTTTTTTAAGAGATAGGGATTCACTCTGTCACCCAGACTGGAGTGCAGTGGCACGGTCTTGGCTCACTGCAGCCTAGACCTCCCAGGCTCAAGCAATCCTCCCACTTTGGCCTCCCAAGTAGCTGGGACTACAGGTACAGGCCATCACACCTGTAATCCCAGCACTTTGGGAGGCTGAGGCTGGAGGATCACCTGAGGTCAGGAGTTCGAGACCAGCCTGGCCAACGTGGTGAAACCCCATCTCTACTAAAGAAACAAAAATTAGCCAGACATAGTGGTGGGCACCTGTAATCCCAATTGCTTGGTAAGCTGAGGCAGAATAATTGCTTGAACCTTGGAGATGGAGGCTGCAGTGAGCCGAGATCATGGCACTGCACTTCAACCTGGGCAACAGAGTGAGAATCCGTCTTATAGAGATAGGGTCTCACTATGTTGCCCAGGCTGGTCTGGAACTCCTGGCCTCAAGTGATCCTCCCACCTTGGCCTCCCAAGTAGCTACGTTGTCCAGCCTGGTCTCAAACTCCTAGCCTTGAGCAATCCTCCCACTTCAGGCTCCCAAGTTGCTGGATTTATAGGTGTGAACCACCATACCCGGCTCTGCAATCCCCATTTTATATGGGAGGAAACTGAGACACAAACCAGACAAGGGACTCGCTTTGGCTGGACATGCAGCCAGGCAGTGGCTGAGCTGAACACGCTCCTTTGACCCAGGCTGGCTTTCACACCCACATTCTTCACCCTCCATGACTATCTGATGTATTCATTCAGTCTCCGCAGTAAAGTCTGGAGTAGAAGTGTTTTTTGTGTGTTTGTTTTTGAGATGAAGTCTCGCTCTGTCACCAGGTCACCAGGCTGGAGTGCAGTGGCGCGATCTCGGCTCAGTGCAATCTCCACCTCTCAGGTTCAAGAGATTCTCCTGCCTCTACCTCCCGAGTAGCTGGGATTATAGGCACGCACCACTATGCCTGGCTACTTTTTGTATTTTTAGTAGAGATGGGGTTTCACCATGTTGGCCAGGGTAGTCTCGAACTCCTGACCTCAAGTGATCCACCTACCTTGGCCTCCGAAAGTGCTGGGATTACAGGTGTCAGCCACTGCACCCAGCCTGGAGTACGCGTGTTTTTTTGTTTTTGTTGAAACAGAATCTCGCTGTCGCCTAGGCTGGAGTGCAGTGGCGTGATCTCAGCTCACTGCAAGTTCCGCCTCCCAGGTTCACGCCATTCTCCTGCCTCAGCCTCCCGAGTAGCTGGGACTACAGGCGCCCACCACCTCGCCCGGCTAATGTTTTTTGTATTTTTAGTAGAGATGGGGTTTCATGGTGTTAGCCAGGATGGTCTCGATCTCCTGGCCTTGTGATCCACCTACCTCGGCCTCCCAAAGTGTTGGGATTACAGGCGTGAGCCACTGCACCAGGCTGAGTACCCCTGTTTTAACACCCTAGAGTAACCTCAATCAGCTGCACCTGGGACAGGCTACCATATCTGTGGAGAATTCATTAACACTGTTTCCTTTTTATTGACTATTTTTACAGTAACCTTTGCATCTCCCAGAGGGATACTACATTTCCGTTCACAGGAATGTTACAACGTATCCCCTAAGATGAATGGAGCTACTGCTGAGATTTTTTTCTTTTTTTTTTTTTTTTAGACAGAGACTTGCTCTGCCGCCCAGGCTGGAGTGGAGTGGCATGATCTCTGCTCACTGCAAGCTCCGCCTCCCGGGTTCACACCATTCTCCTGCCTCAACCTCCCAAGTAGCTGGGACTACAGGCGCCCACCACCATGCCCTGCTAATTTTTTTGTTTTGTTTTGAGGGCTGCAACATACTTACAAGAGTCCTCAGGAAGCAGCCTATATATCCAATAAAAAGGAACTGATCAAGCTAATGCCAGGCTATTGATGCAGCAGCGGAATACTACATAAATACAAAAAGGGGGAAAAGGCCAGGCGCGGTGGCTCACGCCTCTAATCCCAGCACTTCGGAAGGTGGGCGGATCACGAGATCAGGAGATCAAGACCATCCTGGCTAACATGG